TAAACACAGGTAGCTGGATTCACAAGCAGGGGACTGATAGGTTGGGAGGGGGGAACTTAAGAATGGATATCATTTTTAAACACAGGTGGATGGACTTACAACCAGGGGACTGAAAAGTGGGGGGAATTATGGTGGAATGTGATTTTTTTTTTTTTACAGATAGCTGGGCCCATAAGTGGGAGGCTGATAGGTGGGGGGCAAAACTTAAGATCAGATGTGATACTTTTTTCACAGGTAAATTTACTTGTAGCAGGAGGACTGATAAGTGGAGGGGGGGACTTAAAATCAGAAGGTAACTTCAAATCAGATTCAATTTTATTTTATAGGCAGATTTGCCTATAACTGGGGACTGATGACTGCAGGGGGGCAGGGGAACTTAGGATCTGATGTAATTTTTTTTATAGATAGATGGGCCTATAACCAGGGAACAGATAAGTGGGGGGGGCTTATAAGTAGAAGTTAGCGGTATTTTATTTTTGTTTTGACTGGTTAAGACATATCTTAAAAGCTTCAATTGTTAGAATGCTAAACATTGTGTACAAACCTCTTTTCTTCTAGTCTTGGAAGAACCTTCTGAACTGCCTAACAGCTTTTCTCTGTTTTTCTTTAGTTCATTTCTAAATTTCTGAGAATCAGTAATAAACAAGGATTTTAATAGACTCAAATATATTATTACATTTGAAATGTTCCAGGGCAGATAAAAAGTAATTTTGTTATGTTTCAAAATGCCATACCTGGTTTAGATGTTCCTCATAGGCTGCTAGAGTCTCTGAACCTGTCTTCTTTTTGTTAATCATTTCTTTAACTTCTTCCCTGCATTTTATTTAAGTTGCACAAACATGAGTATAAATGTTGATCAAGACAAAATTATTACATTTAGAAAATAAATGTGTTTGCATTAATTTAGAGTGGTTCTGTGATACAAAAGGAAATCTTTTCAACTCAAAGACCCCTTAGAACAAAAGCATCAATAACATGTATATTGTAATACAGTCAAACCTTAATCACACTGACCTGGATTATCCTGGCAGATTTTTTTTTTTTTATCATCAGATTTTTCCATTATCTGGATTTTTTTGTTATCAGGATTTTCCCCGTATCACAATGTTCCCTTTATCTGGATTTCTCTATCCTTGTGATTTTTCCCTTTTGTAAAAGATGTCACTTACAATGTTGGTCGATTTCTGTTTAGGTAATCTCTCACTGTTGGTCCAGAAGACACTGGCCCTCTTGCTCGTGCCATAGCAATGGGATTCATGCATGCCTAGTAAATAATAACATCATTTATTCAGCACCTTATAAAAAATTGGTTTGAATTATCGAAGAAGTAAAGATAGTTGGCCAGTTTTTGTTCAACTTATTATGGGATTAAGAAAAGTGAGGTCAAGAGTTCAAGAACTTGTAAAAACATCCACCTAAAGAAATTTCTAGTTAAACATATTGTAAATTATAAGTAACTAAAGAAGACAAGCTATTAATGAGACCAGGTATCTACCAGTTTATGTTTAAAAAAATATATAATAATTTGTAATTTAAGTAGTCAAATTAACATTTCATTCCTATAGTTATTAGCTGCCTGAGTTGTAATTTAATGGCAATATTAATTTGATACTTTGTGGAAAATCTGGTTGACACGAGGAAGGGAAAAAACACGTTAGTTTTTCACGCGAGTCTGATATCACCAATCAGCTGGTAACTGCTGCATTTTCATTTATAACAGTTCAAATGACACCGTAGCGTTGACCAAATATTCGATTTACTCGACAGAATGGGCTTAATTTTTTGTTTGCTTCTTCTAGGTTCAAAAATCACATATAATTGACTGCCTGCAAAATTTTGAGAAAATGCATTAGTCAAATTTCAGTTAAATTTGAAACAAAATAATTGGAAAGATAGACAACAGTCCTGATCCAAATCGAAGTGATAACATCCCCGGTCAAACGGACGTGGTTGTCCAGTAGTTCATTAGATATCGTGTCGGTATTTCCACAACTTTTCATGAATATCGAAAGAATCGATACTTGCCAGCTGGTAAACAGACACAAGCATGATCTACTAAAAAAAGGAAGTAAACTTTCATGTCTTCCATCTGTCAAAGTAACATACTCAACCTTACCACTCTTTTGTCTCTTTTTCCCATTTCGTTTCTACAACAAGGAAGCAAGACCACCAGTATTTCTGTAGACGAAATTTTTGGTTGGAATCCGTTTCACTCTACATAACGAGATCAGCCCTCTAAATAGAAACCGCTGGAAGTGTCGCTAGAAGTATCACCAGAAACTCTTGCTTCCAGTCTTTCTCAATTCTTGTTTGGCCGATCTCGAATAAAAATCATACATTCTTTATCTTGAGTGTTTGACTGATCATCGAATGTTTTTCAAACCGTACCTTCTCAGTTCTAACACTAGCCTGCCGTCAAAAGTTTTCTACTGTTTTAACCAAACACGCTAACGGAAGCGAAAAAAAAGTAGATAAAAGGTGAAGTACAACCAAACCTAGAGCGTGTTTCCTTAAAAAAAGTCACTGAGATAAATACTGGTTCAGAAGTTTGCTTTTACATGTCTGAACTGTGTACATAAGTATTAAAATTTTATATTCAGCTTCATTCTGCGTCTGGACATTCTGAATGAGTACCAAGTCCGGTTAACGAATCTTTTTATAAAAAAAAATTGTTCTGTTTGATGTAGAAAGAAAGAAAGTTGTCCACCTGGTTGCCGTGTGAACTAACCCTAAGAACCAAAATTTTCTAGACGAACACTAAAGCTATTTAATTCGACCCCCGAGGATTTGACCCAGTACGGAGAGGTGGCCATGTTTACATGTATTTTTCATTGAGATGTCCATACGTTGTATCGAAAATTCAGCGATTTGTGAAATCTGTGAAAATGGTTAATGAGTTAGTGTCAGTAAGAATCAAACCCTTCATCCTTTTATGAACTTGCACTTCGCTTTCTGTAACATTTCTAATGTTTTTTCTTTTTTAACTCAATCTTCCTTTGTTTTGATCTTGGTTTTGTTTTAGAAAAAACAATGGTTCGTTCCCTCGCCTTAAACCTCTTAAGTTGTCTATCAGTTGTTACACGCGTTACGAAGTCATTAAAAATTGAAAGTTATTAAGCATGAAACGTCCAATCAAAACAATGTCGAAGTCAATCCGAGGCTAAATCTTTGTTTGTGCCATGACATCGCCCACTGACAATAACTTTTCTGTGACTGAAATTTAATTCATTCAGTACTAGAAGGCAGAAGGTCTGGAAAATCAAACTGAAAAATGCTATCTGAAAATGATGGTGATTGCCAAGAAAGGATAAGCCGACGCGTCGAATTTAAGACAAGCTACAGTGTTGAAAGTTTAACATCAGGAAGTAGCGACGGAGAATCCTATTCGCCGCGTTTGCCTCATGTAAGGAGAAGGGACAGTCTGTTACAAAGAACAAAATCCTTCAGTCAGATCATCCACGAAATGGGCTCAAACACAAAGAAGTTAGAAGAAGAAATGTATGGACTTCTACGCGATATGGTAAGCTTCTACTTCAATAAAAACCTCTTTTGTTGCCATATTCGACCTTCTTGTACCAAAACATAGCGTTATGTCTTTGATAATCGCTGCGCTTAGAGGCGAATCTCGCGTTAGATTGTTACCAGAAAGGATTTTTCTTCTCCACTTCTATTTTCGGAATGATTTTGACTAGTTAGTTATGGCATAAAGCTTCTCGAACGTGATGCGGCGGTATCACACAAAGGATGCTTTGCGTAACACTGGTGATAAGAAGCGTTTTGTCCGACAAAAGCCCTCGTGTTTAATTATTACAGCAGCCATTGTGCAAACATCGACAACACTAACCAATTCCATTTCCCATAACATATTAGAGTCGTATGCAGATTTACAAAAAAATTCATGCAGATATATTCAATTTAATTTACTTTAATTTTTTTGGATCAGTCCAGAATCAAAGAAATTACGAGGAATCTCAATGTTTAGATTAGTGTTCTTGTCAGAATTAAGGTTTAATTTCCACCTGCTTATCACTTACAGCCCCTGGGAATCTTCTGTTTAAGTCTTCAGCTCGCGAACACTAAGATATGATTTATTGTGTTCAACTTGTATCATCCTTTTTAATGAAAGAATATAAGTATGATTGGTAAATGACGGCGAGATTTTACTGCTTAATAACTTTTAACTTTTAAGTTATTATGATAAGTTGTTAGTTCTATTTATTTTTTAAGTTGATTGGTTTCGTCTCCCATTTGCAAACGTTTTTCAACTCTCGACAATTTTCACTTTGCTCAGTGCAGTGTATAGTAAAACAAAAGAGCTTAATGTTCTCAAGAATAAATGTTTTGGGCCCAACTCAGACTCCTTTTTGGCTCGAGCCGCTATGTATCAACCACATCTTGTAATTGATTCCTGTTTAGTACTAGTAAAAGGTAGCATACTAGGTGTTCTAAATCTTTCACTTGGTTTGTGTCACAGGATACCCTTCGTAATCAGAACCTCAGTACTGGCCGGCGGCTTCAACGTCTACAGAGAGTGTCGGGAGCGATGAAAGAACAACTACAGGCCTTCAGTCCTGTGCGGTCAGCAGCGAGTCATCGACATCTTAATCACACGAACATTATGACCATGAATGAAAAGAGAAATTGTTACTCAATAGAAAATCTGCCCACAGAATCAACTTGAGTCCGAAATAAGGGAAATTGGCTATTGTAAACATCAATTTTATGGATCAGCTGGCTTTGTTTATTCAACAATTAAAAGAATCAGTAACACAGGATTCCAATAAAAACAGATGTAGACAGTCATCTAGTCAGTAGACTGTTTTCGTGTCCATCTTTGAGGTAAATTCAATCCGAGAAAGGAGTCATAGTTTTATTAAGTTTTGATAAAAGTAAGTGAGGGGACTTTCCGTGGTTTTCTATGTGTAGTTATTGAATCCAGTCAAGAAGTTATCTACTTGTAATTGTTTAACTGGAGTATTTACTGATTAAAGTGAAGTGTGACTATAGCCTGGCGAGAGATTGTAAGATCATTCTCTGCGACACCACTGTCTTGGTTAGTGTTGGTAGCAACATTCACATTCAAAGGGCCCGGTGGCTTCTGGGACAATTGTTGCCCTCTGGGGTGACCGCATGTTGTGTGGGACACCCCACTGAGCGAGAGTTTGAAGAGTGTCCTACTTGCTGTGCGTGATAGAGAGTGTTATGTTCTCCAGATCATGGCTAACCGCACGCTAAGAGTAAAAAAGCGTGACTAGCAGCACTTGAGATGTGACGTAAGCACTTGAATGGGTTACGCGCATCGAAAGCTCATTTCCGGTTTTCTAAAATATTCTTATAACTCACTAACAAGAACATTTGAGGCTACTTCAGAAAGAGGAAGCATACATCACGCTTTCTAGATCTTCAACCCCCTATCTATAATACAAACGAGCCAAAAAGCTAATCAGCACATCGTCGGAGCCTTTGAATTATAGGATACTAAGTAAAATCTCGTTGATATTGTTGGACAATACAAGCCGCCTTGTTCACCCACTTTTAAAAAATTCGGACATTAAGCCTTACCAATATCATTACTGACGTTTCGAACCCCTCCTATTGCCCTGACGAAGGGCTCGAAACGTCAGCTTTTAAACTCTTTACGGCAGCCAATTTACGTTATCAACTCAGTTGATAATACTTAATTACCCTGTTATACTCTCTCACCGACGCAGCACCACAGTTTCTTTAGAAACTTACCCCCCAGTATCATTACCGACTGTCAGCTCCAGTAAAATCTTTAGAGAATTTTTCATTCAATGAATGTCATAGCTTTTCACTAGTTCATCGAAAGAAAAAATAGATTCAAACCTCCTTTTTCTAAAAACAATATAGCATTTTGCACTCTCGAAAGTTGTTGACCTTTGTTTGCTGAAAACAAATGAATTTCCTGTCAGATCTGTGTTTTTTTCTTCACCCAAGCAGAAAAGCTTACATTAGCTTCTTAAGAGATGTCTCTTGAAGAAAAAAACAGAGAAAGTTTATCGGCCTGACTATTATATTTATTTTGACTTGAGAAAGTGATTCTCCCGCATAATATTCCTAAATTAATTGTTAAAAGAACTATCGAAACTGATGAAATTGAAATTGATTACAAATCAAACATTCCAATCAAACGCACTTGATATAGTTCAGCAAGAGAGAATCAAGTTTGATTCTTCAGCGTTTACATTATTTTGTACACGCTCGCATTCAAAACAAGCGTGGTTTGTTTTTTTTTTATGAGTAACGTACACCTTTTTCCTTCCTCTCAAGAGTTTTAGGGTGCGTCAAACCTTATAATTAGCATGTGAAACTGCTGGGCAATAACTATATTAGCTGAAGCAGTCTTTCATGTTCACAGGCGTGTTATTAAGGCTTCCCTCGGGGACAATTTAAGTGTTATTAATCATACGGTCTCGTGACGCATAACTAGTAGATATATCGCCACAAGCCAGGCCGTAGATCACTCTTACGTGGCCACAGATTCCTTGCGGATAATTTGGCGATGAAGGGTGAGACTTGTTTGACAAGTTCCTTTAAACAAATATGTTTTGAATATTTCTGACTTGGTCAACAGATAGCAGGGAAACATCATTTTCCTATGGCTGAGAATTTCAGCACTAACCTCGTATTTGTCTTTTACAGAGTACAATTTTGTTGAGTCAGATGATGACTCAGGTTTCAAAGATGATTCAAGCGTCGCATTCTCAGTGGAAAGCGGCCAGTCAGAGCGAGTTGCCACTTACAAAACTAAATCTTGGAACTGCTTCGCCACAAAAAAACAGAAAGCTAAAGTAAAACAAGAACAGGAAGAAAATGGCACCGGGTATGACAACCCACGAAAACAAAACTTCTTTAAAAGAGCAACCAGAAAGATCTTTGGCAAGACCAGGCGGAAGTTTAATAAGAAACATCAAGATAACAAAATGAATACCACAGTGAAAACGGAAAAGAAACTGAGAGAAAATTATACGGAACAGGTGGCCATTATAATACCGTCAGACAGCTGTGCGAGTGTGAATGAGGAGCCAGCACCTTACCCTCAAAATGTCAACTTCATTCGAGCAGAGAAGATGCGATGCTCGATTCGAGAATCCCGCGGCTTGAACCCGCGGGAAGCTTTCCGGCTTCGCGAGAGACAAACCATGCTTCGAGTTCTGTTTGATTTTCAAGCATGTGATGACGATGATATTTCCGTGATGAGAGGAGAACTTGTTCAAGTACTCAACAAAGATGATAAGGATTGGTGGTGGGTTGAAAATGAACATCGACAGAGAGGATTTGTGCCGCGAAACTTTCTTTGGCCCTGTGGCTGTTACGGTAAGACAACATCTTTTATATAGAACTAACATAACTTAACTAAGTTTCTCCTTTTGAAGAAACAGTACATAAATGGCTCCTTTTTTCAAGTAATTTTCTTGTATGAGTTGGCATATTTACAAAAACATCGGTATAATAAAGTCAATATATATCAGCGATGCTTAAAAGTAAAAAATCATCCAAAACTGAATGGGCCAAAACGAGGTTGTCAAAATTGCTAACAGATTATTGGACACCTTTTTGTTTTCGTTCATTCAGTATAAGGATAATCCAGTTCGAGAATTTATTTTTCTGAGGGAAAAAAAGAACAGAATTGACTCTGTTGATCTTTGGTTTTGTTATCAGCAAGAGAAATCTTTATTGCTAAAGCTTTATTACCTGCGACACACATTACCCGGGAGATGTGCTTGAGAAAGCACACCAATGAATAAATGAATACGTTGAGTCCGATATCACTTCGGAATTGTTTGAAATTCGCTCAGTCGCTTAAACAAAGAAGAATAGAGATGAGTGGTTGGAAATGGAAATAAAAATTTATTCAGGTTCATGGCACTTGACATGCACTCTGTCGATATTTTTGAAATGTCATGCTTACTGTGGGAAACTGAAATGGAATTAAAATGCCACTATGTTACAACCGAGTATCAAAACATTGACATTTCTTAACGACTATTATTTTTACCTCATTAGTATCTTATTCCCGCGTTTAATTCCATCATAAGAATGCTTTTATAGTATTTGCCCATTATGATACATATTTATATTGAGAGATCAGTGAGAGTATTATCACATCGTAAAATACAGGCACGAACTTTGCATTGGGCGCACTCCTCTGTGGTCGGGTGGGACATAAATACTTCGTAGAAAATATTCTTAAAGCTAACTTCATTGATTCAAGATTTGAAAGTAGATTTTATGGTTTGTAAGATCATTATAAGGACAAATTGAGGGAAAGTTATCGCTCTCCTAATATAGAAAAAGTGATATTGCTTCTTAGATCATTTTCAGGAATGATGACGACTCTTCGCTTATCTCACAATGTTCTTGTATTGTCAACGGCTATTGACGTTAAAACGCTAAGCATCATTCACAAATGTAAAATTCGAGACACAAAGACTAAATGTAGTGTCGTTATTTTGAGGGAAGGGGTGGGTTTGCTTTTTGGTGAGGTATTGGTAACTAATATGAAGATGAGATCTGGCGCAAAGTGTTACCGTGCGCCAGTGGGCACGAGGAGGGTTAAAACTTGTCATAGCTAACTCTCTATCTTTAGGTGCCTATGTTAATTTAATTGCCTTTTAGTTAATTAACGTTTAATTTGTGATATAAATGGTTGAACAGCTACAGAGTTTTCAAATGCCTTTTTTTTCTACTGTAGTGTGTCAACAGTTTATTTTGGACAGAGTGACGAATGTGGGCCCAGTCCTCAGCGACCAGAACATTGAACAGCAACGGTTCCAGGCAACTGATCAATTCATCAGGGAGGAATCGTTTGGCGAAAGAACACGGCTCATTGGAAACAAAAGATACACGAGTACATGGTGCTGACGACCTGGTCATGTAAACCTGGAAAATCCCCGCAAGAGATTTAAAACAACACCTGATTGAAAGTGTTGGGCTGAAAAACGCTAATGACACTGCTTTCTTCGCTTTGTTGCTGTTCTGCCGAAAACACACTCGAATAATTTTGAATTTTATTCATGTAATCTGTTTTATGGAAAGTGGATGAATGAGTGAGATAAAGTTAAAAGTGGGCGGCTGGCATAAGAAGCCGTTAGTTTTTCATCTGGTCAAATGTTGTTTGTAAAAAATTTCAGTGTTTTGAGAGGTTACTTAAATAGATGCAATTTTGAGACATTATTTCGAGAAAAGTGTGATAGAAATCAATGCAATTTTGTTTAAATGTTAATCTCTATAAAGAGGGGATTTCCCACTATATTTGTCATGTGGCCAGTCCTAGGGTAGGTTGAAATACGAAATTTGTCAAGTTTTGTATTTTTGAGAAGCGTATGTAACTGAAAGCGCCTTTCCACCAGTCTGAGTCAGGTTTTAGAATAACGTGAATGTACCGTTCGTCGATATTCTCATATCCTATAAGCAGGCCCCCGTTTTTTCTTCGACTTGTCTCAAATCTTCCCGCACGCGGAGAAACTCGTGTAATGCAGTGAGTAGTTACCTTAACCTACGCCGTTTGAAAGCGTAACTTTTGAGGGCTATTGCAATAGATATTGAAAAATTGGAAAGTTTTTCCTCCTCCAAATGTATAAGAAATGACGGCCTAACGATTTAAGATTCGGGATGAAATAAATAGCTTATAAATAGCTTCTCATTCGGAGCACCCATGATACCTATGAAGGACCGAGATTTTGTATATTTTTAAGTATTATTATACTGTACGTAAATTGCTAGATTAGTTTGTAACTTTTATTTGTCAAAGAACCTTATATTATTGTCTTGTACTGAATTAAAATACAATAGGGTGATTTTACAATTTATTTTGTTTATTATTTCACATTTTATTAGTTAATTGTAGGTCCGCATCAGCCTCATGGCTGCCACTTTTGTAACCTGCATCACTAAATAAAATGACTGATTGATTGATTAATGAAGAAAGGATGCTAGAGCCTCTTTCTTGGTATTTCGTGACTGTCTATCATGTAGCATAAATCGAAAATACTGGGCGTGTTCATGTGATCACGTGACATTCGTGGTTATTGTAATCGCTTTGCCTGCAGATTTCTAGTTGCGTTGTATTGATTCGACTCAAAACCTTTTTTTCTCGGTTGACATGTCGAAAGGACCAGCAGTTGGAATCGATCTTGGTACCACGTATTCTTGTGTTGGAGTTTTTCAACATGGGAAAGTGGAAATTATCGCAAATGATCAGGGAAATAGAACAACACCAAGCTATGTAGCGTTTACTGAAACGGAACGCCTGATTGGAGATGCTGCAAAAAATCAAGTCGCAATGAATCCCTCAAACACGATTTTTGGTGAGAATTCAAAACATATACATTCTTTATAATCGAAGAGCGATGGCTGAATGTGTGCCCATGTTCCTTTGCAGATGCTAAGCGATTGATAGGTCGACGATTTGACGATCCTTCGGCGCAGGCAGATATGAAACATTGGCCCTTCCAGGTGAAAAGATGTTGGCTTTTTCGGAATTTGTTGAGTCTTGATTGAAGTCTCAGATTTTAATTGAACATCTTATTAAAAACTGATATGATTATTGTACAAAGTGATACCATTCTTTCTTAACTGTCAGTCAAAAGAAACGTTACCTTTATCTAAGTAACTTACTTTCGTTTTCTAGATCATTAATGACTCTGGGAGACCTAAAATACAAGTGGAATATAAAGGAGAAACTAAAACATTCTACGCTGAGGAGGTATTTAAGAGATTAATTAGTTTCATCGAGGAAAATACTTTCTGGAATACGAACTCATTATATCAATAGCCCCAGCCATGCCTGCTAGTCATACCTCCCAAATTTTACTTCACAACCAGTAACCGTCGATGAATTATTGATCTGCAATGACTCAGCCATGATTGCAACAATTCACTAAGATTTTGTAACTAACATCTGTAACAAATTACTTAAAATCAGATATTAGATAGATGGGTCAAGCTTCTAAAACCATGATAGGTTTTCCCTGCAACATCAGAAGTCATGTAATATTTTTAGGGCCAAGTAATCCTACTCCTTGTTTTGGACGGTTACCTCCAAGCTTTTGATCAAGATTTATTGGGTATTCTTTAACTACCAACAGAACCCTCCTTTTATCATTTGTCAATTTCTTGTTTACAGATTTCCTCTATGGTGTTGACAAAAATGAAGGAAACAGCTCAGGCATATCTTGGAAAAACTATCACAGATGCTGTGGTGACTGTGCCAGCGTATTTCAATGATTCTCAGCGCCAGGCTACAAAAGACGCAGGTTGGTTTAAGTGATACAAATAATGGGAGATTTTACAAACTATAGTAATGATTTAACCTTTTAACTCTGAGTAGTGATTGACATGTAACTTCTCTCTATGATATCCAACATTATCAAGCAAACAGGTAATTAGAATACTCTTAATTATCAGGTAGAATTTGGTATTTTGATTTAATACAAAATTCCCATTTATTAATTTATAAATGTGTAATGAAGTGTGTTGTAGCTAGAGGGGAGAATGAACAATCAGATCTTGGAAATTAAACCTGAATAACAGGCCCAAACAAAAAACTTAACTGAGGTGGCTTTTGTTGGTTATTTTCAGGTAGAGTGTGAAGTAATAAAGTATATAAAGTTTTATGATATGATGAGCACACTTGTGTTTAATGTGTTATCTGAACCTTGTTCTACTTTGCTCATCCTGTGCAAGTAAACGTGAAATTTTAATACGGAAAAATTCCAAAGTTGATTTGGAAAATTACGATGAATGTAATTTACAATGAACTCACGATGAACCTAATTTGTGCTTTAATGTTCTTTCTAAGGTGTGATTGCTGGCTTAAATGTCTTGCGTATTATCAATGAGCCAACTGCTGCTGCCATTGCATATGGTCTGGACAAGAAAGTTGGTTCTGAACGCAATGTCCTTATCTTTGATCTTGGTGGTGGTACATTTGATGTCTCCATTTTGAGCATTGAAGATGGTATATTTGAAGTCAAATCTACGGCTGGAAACACTCACCTTGGGGGTGAAGACTTCGACAACAATGTTGTTGATTTTTTTGTGAATAATTTCAGAACAAAGTACAAGAAAGATCTTTCAACCAATAAACGTGCTCTGCGTCGCTTGAGGACAGCCTGTGAACGTGCCAAGAGGACCCTCTCCTCCAGCACCCAAAGTAGTATCGAGATTGATTCCTTGTATGAGGGAATTGATTTTTATACCTCACTTACTCGTGCCAAGTTTGAAGAATTGAACAGAGATTTATTTGACAAAACCAAAGACCCTGTTGAAAAGGCTTTAGGTGATGCTGGATTGGCCAAGAACCAGGTTCATGAGGTTGTGTTGGTTGGAGGATCAACTCGCATCCCAAAGATTCAAGAGAAGCTGCAGGATTTTTTTGATGGCAAAGAACTCAACAAAAGCATCAATCCAGATGAAGCTGTAGCCTATGGTGCTGCAGTTCAAGCTGCAATTCTGAGTGGTGACAAGAGTAGTGAAGTTCAGGATTTGTTGCTTCTAGATGTAGCACCATTGTCACTTGGAATTGAGACTGCAGGAGGAGTTATGACAGTTCTTATCAAGCGCAACACAACCATACCCACCAAGAAGACAGAATCCTTCACTACCTATTCAGACAATCAAACCAGTGTCCTAATCCAGGTAAGCAGTGGTGTCAGGGAAGAAAAATCAAAGAAAAGTGTAACTGTGCTCTTAGAATTCAGCTGTTGCCCTTAACCCATTAAATCAAGAAGAGCTCCCCAAAAAACCTG